CGAGCCCGCGCCTGGGCCTCGCCGCCCTGGGGCTGGGCGAGCAGCCCGACCGCCCGGCTGAAGCGGCCGAGAGAAGGGCGCTCACTGACCAGGCCTGCGGGTCCCGGGCGTCCCCCTCTTGCTGTCTGGAGGCTGTTTTCCTCAACGGGCCCACGTATAAGTTTAACTGAGGCACCTGCACTGCTGACCGGAGCTCAGACGCCCTTGTCTTCCAGCTGCTTTCTCCCCGTGCCGAGCGTTTTAAAGCAGGAAGACAAGCATAATATACTGCATCTTATTAAGGTGTGCGATTTTATCCTGAGGAAACATAAATTATGTTTTGTATTATATGACTTTAAGGGCCCACATTAGGTTTTATGATTCATTTGCCAGGTTTTTAAATGTTTTCACAACACTGTTACTGGAACTTCAGCTACAAATAAAATGGTGTAAATAAAGACCTCACTCTAAATTATGGATATTAGATCTGAAATGTTTTGTACTTTTATTTTTATTTCTTATACTCTTTTCTTTTATACTGATACCTTGCCACATTTTAAATAAATGTACTTTTGAACTTTACGTAGAATTGAGTGATCCTTTATTACCCATTTTTTGTGTTCATCGTTTGCATCAAAGTGGATCACATTTTAAGTAATTTCAAGGCAAAATATTTTCTAGTAAAATTTTCTCCTGAAGCAATATATTTCTGGAAGGCAGCCGTTTTCTGTCAAGGCAATAAAATCTCTTAGCAGAGGCATATTCAGAACATCTAGCAATTACCACGACACAGGCACCCACCGGTCAGAGTCACTAATTCCGCAGGAACCCTGTCTGCACTGTTCCTACTCCAAATCTGGTTCCGACACACTTCCTGCTGGACCGTAGGAACAGAAACATAGTAAGAGACCATCAGCTTACCAGCAGCCCTAACACAGAAGGTGTAATGCACTGGCATTTACTGGTGTGTCAAGACGGACGCTGTCACCGGCGCAGCACCACCCTCCCGTCCCTGCCCATCAGGTGTGTTCCTGAACCTGAAGCGAGGAGTTTGCCTCCTCGTGATTCTGAGATGCCCTCCTAGAGACGTCTGTGACTGCTCTCAATGCGCCCTCTAACTGCACGGTCTCTACAGTGTGGCTCTTGAACACGGTTGAGGTGGAGCACACGTTATACAATGTTAACGGCGCGAATTCCACGTCACAGGAACTTCAGTGCTCTTGTAAGGCTCTGACACTGGTCACACACATTCAATACATCATCACTTCAGCTGTTTGTCCCAACTCATGCAGGAGCACATGGAGTTATTCCTACAAATGGAAAGAAACTCACTCGATTTCAAAGTGAGGCTCCTGTCTTCACAGCACTGCCCGTTCCCTCTCGAGTGCCCTGAACTTGCTGAGCTCCGGGGACCCGCCTGTTGCCGCACAGGCGCGCCTTCAGCCTCCCTCACCGCGACTGGGTGACACTTACTGTCTGTTGGAAACATTCCTCTGTCCAGCTCTTCAAAATGCACCCAAGCAGCACTGTCCTCCAGACACCCCACGTGCTGGCGCCTGCCTGCGATGTTAACAAGCGGCATCTCAGCGTGTGGGCTTCGTACGCTCATACCTTGGTACCTCAGCAAACAGAGATGGTCAACGGAGAATCACCCTTTTCTCCTCACATACCACGAGTGGAATTACTGCTGCTATGGAATAATTTACAGTCTGCAAAATCCCAGAAACAGAAGACTTTCATAAGTTGGAACAAAATCTTGACGGCACCGTGTTCAGAAAACTGCCTACTTGTACACCCGCTAAGGAAAGTGAAGGTGGTGGTGGAGTGAGTGCCCTCTGGGTGACTGCGTGCACCGGCTCAGTCTTCAGTGGAGACGGGGTGTGTGCTTAAGCAACATGCAGGTATGACTGATCTGATTAACCTTTCGACTTGTGGCTTTTTCCAAAGCTGCCAAGAAATAATCCTTAAAGACTCCAGGAGCTGTCGACAGCCAACTGGCTGGCACAGCTGCTAAGCTCTGGTTTGGAGGCTCAGAGGAAGTTACATACAAACATTTAAAAATAAAAAGTAAATCAATTTTGAGAAGCTGATTAGGTTAGAAAAGTTGATTCAGTTAGAAAAATTTTTCTCATAAGAAAGGAAGTCTTTTACTTAATCTTGCTTTTGTCTGGCTCAGAGTTAATAGAAATAATACAAACCACAAGTAATTTTAAAGTTTCAAGTAGCCACAGTAAAAAAAAAAAGCTTTTTGATTTTAGTTTCTAAAATTTAATATATCTAAAATACTGTTTTATTTACAAATAATATTTTCTGAGTTTTACCTTTTTTTTTCTTAAGATTTCATACCACCTACAGTTTAAAAAGTAGATTGACATACCCAGGTTAATCTGAGTTTAAGTGTTCTCCAGCAACTGAGTGTGTCACTTTTTAAGTTAAAATGAATGATAAATAAGAGGAACAGGTCAATTCCCCGCTCACCCCCAGCACATCTCTGGCGCGCAGTGACCCGCGGGGGGCTGGTTGTGTTTGGGGGGCGGAAGCTGCCCTCAGCATCCTGTTGGACTTTCCAAATGAGGACAGAAGAAGCATGGGTGCCATGCAGGCAGCACCTGCTCCACCCAAGCAAGTCCAGGAAGAATCACTCACGTCTGCCTCCTCGGGAAGATCGCGGGAGGTGCGCTCCCTGGAGGGCACGGCAGTGAGAGGCGGCGTGGGAGGAGTCAGCGTCCTCGCCCTGCAGGCTGACAGCCTCACCAGCAATACTGAACCCACCTTAATCCTGCAGGTACCTGGTAATTCAAGAAAAGCTCTGTAGTCGCAGCCGCATGGCGCCATCTAAGTACTGGTGCTTGGAAAGAGCGAGGCCAATGAGACGGCTGCACCCGTCTCACCTGGCTGCACCCAATGAGATGGCTCCAAACCCAAGTGCTCTGTGGTCCCCCGGATCACTCGCTGCGTTGCATCGGAGCTAAGCGCGGATCCAGGCCCAGGTCTGGGGGTCCTGCCGCCAGCACCCCTTCCAGGGGCTCAGTGCTCCCGGGCGGGGTGCATCCCCTGCCCTGCACTTACCCGCATGTCCCCACCATGCTGGGCCACCACCAGCATCTCGGTTGCTGCAGCTCAGAGTGTGTCACCGTGTCATCGTCCCTCCCGGTGCCTCCCGCCTGTGCTCCCTTGACACAGAAGCACTCACATCGCCCCAACCCGTCACCACCATGCTCATGTCCGTCCCCCTCAGGAATCTCAGCGGGCTCCTAGTTGCCTCCTGCCTCAGCCTCCTTCCTGCCCAGTTGTCCGCCATCCTTTGGCAAGAGCAGTTTTTTTCTGAAATAGAATCCGGGCTGTCACATCCCGGCTAAAAAGAAACATCGAACTGTGACGTTTCGAATCTGTCTTAATCTCCCATGACCCGCTCACCCCATCAGCCACACAGGTTCACTTGCTGCTCCTCACACGAGCTAACACCCATGCCGGCCTGGCCAGCTTCCCTGCTCACTACGACGGGCAGAGCTCCTCCCGACTCTTCCGGGCTTTCTCGGGCGCTTCTTCGTCCGCGCAGCCTTCGCCCTCCCACACGGTGATGCCTCAGAGGCACGGGGTGACTCCCAGCCGTCTCTCTGCACTGCTGTGACAAAGTACCAGCAGCAAAAGAGAAGACTGATCCGTTGGACCACATAGAAAGTACAAACTTTAGTGCACCAAACAAAGGACACAGCAGAGTGAAATGCAACACACAGAACGGGTGAGAGAGCTGCCAGCCATGCGTCTGACAAGGGGCTAATACCCGAGGCATAAAAAGAACGACCATGTTTCACCCAAAAAGCCACCTCATTTTAAAATGAGTTAAGGACCTGACTAGACATTTCTCCAAAGAAGACGTGTGAATGGCCAACCAGCATGTGAAGACGCTCGGCCTCCCTCCCTGTCGGGAGGCGCACGAGCAGCACACGGCCCCACCTCACGCTCGGCGGGAAGGCTGCTCTCCGAAAACAAAACAAACGGCACAGTAAGTGCTGGTGGGGAGGTGGGGAGGTGGAAGCCGTATGCACGCCGGTCGGGATGCAAAATGGTGCAGCCACGTGGAAAACGATGTGGCCATTCCTCAAACTGTTTAAATATAATTACTGCATGATGCAGCAACTCTGCCTCTGGGGATGTACCCAAAAGGACTGAAAGCAAGGTCTCTGTGAGACACTTACACACCTGCATCCACAGTAGCATTATTCACAACGACCAAAAGTTGGAAGCAAACTAAGTGTACGCCAACTGATGAACGGATAAACGAAGTGTGGCTCCTACATACGCCGGAGTGCTACTCAGTCTGTGGAAGGAAGGAGATTCTGACACACGCCACAACACGGATGAAACTTGAGGACATAACGCTAAGTGAAATAAGCCAGACACAGAAGGGCAAATGCCGTATGATTCTACTTACACGAGGTCCCTCTAGTGGTCAAATTCAGAGACAGCAGGTGGTGGGGGAGGACAGTGGAGAGTCAGTGTTTCATGGGACGAGTTTCAGTTTGGGATGATGGAAAGTTCTGGAGATGGGTGGTGGTGATGGCCACACAACAACGTGAATGTCCCTAATGCCAGTTAATTGTACACTTAAAAATGACTATTTTGGAGGAGAGGTGCCAAGAGGGCGGAGTAGAGAGACTCACAGCTCGCCCTCTCCCACAAATACACCAAGAACTAAATCTGCAAACCCGCTGAATCGCACAGAGTGCCTACTGAACTCTGGCAGTGTCTCTTGCTTCGAAATACAGGAGGAGTCCTCACAAAATGGTAAGA